AACGAGAATACATCCTAAGCTATCAGCTAGATTCTATGGGCCATTCGAGGTGTTGAAACAAGTGGGTTATGTGACATTTAAGCTGAAGCTACCGGAGACAGCAAGGATACATCCGGTTTTTCATGTGTCACAATTGAAGTTGGTGGTGGGGACACAACAAATAGAGAAGGAACTACCCGCGGAATAGAACTATATAAATCTGTAGAGGGGTTAGCGATTGTTTCATTGTATAGACAGGACAATTCATATCCTGTGGAGGTGGGATTTATCCCCCTTTGGAGGCTTGTACAGTTGGGAATTCTATACAGAAGAGATATACAATTCTTTTCTTCTTTTTGGTGTTGGGTGTGTGATTTACTGTTGCGTATTGATAGTTCTTGGTCCTTCTTGACCTAAGAACCTATCACTGGTTCTCTCGAATAACAAGAAATTGTATGTGTTTGGTTTCTCCACATTGGAGGAAACCTGGTATGTTGTTGGAATAAAGATCTGCAGTTTCTAAAACATCTCATTATAGGTATGAAAACCAATCAATGTAACTCTTAAGATAAATCAACTGACCTTTCCATCCTGATAGATGAATGCAGACGCTTCAATATAAGCTACTGCTTGATACCTGACAGAAAATGCTATTGATCAATAAATCATCGATGGTAAATAAATATACTAACTGTCAGATACCTAAACAGAAACAAGTGATGGAGTGAAAAGTAGTATCGAAGAATTGTGTTCTACCACATCAAAAAGGATGTATATACAAGATTAGTACAGGAGGGCAGTATCATACCTATTCATAGGCACTATTTTCTATTTGCTGCATATTACAAAATCAAGTAATTTGAAATCTTAAGAAGTGGACTTAAAATCAGTTTATAAGGAGAGGTTTACACCCTACTTATATTTATAATTTGGCTTTAATTGTAGTCAATACGAGGTACCCTTTCTTTTAAAATAGAAACATAGAATCAGGACAACATCAATAAAAATCTACATTCTACTAGCAAACAATTCTCACTCTTTAACACAAAAACTTAATCATCAAACATGAGTCATTCATTTATTAGAAATTTGTATATAATATACTTTTGCATTATTGAATTTTGGCTTACCCAAGATTAAGAAGGCCAGCAACCGTACTAATGCTAATATCAAAATCCACTTTGGGCTGAATAATAAAGTTCCCTTCTTTGATGGGCTGGCACATGAACAAGATAACAAAATTTGTTTAGTAAAATAAATCATGAAAGTGCCACACTATCAACTATGTGTATAATTATGTTAAGCTATCATCAACAAGCAAATAATGTTCCCAACCTCTCGTATCAGCAACGCAAATCTGCCTTCACATATTCTGACTCGAATACAATCACTGTCCCTCAACTGTCCATTAGAAGGGATCCCAGGAAGCCTAATATAGATGTCAATAAATTTCTGCACCGAACTGCAAAATTTTGCTGAATCAAGAATTGCAACAATATCTTGATATGCTACCTGTAATTTATTACTATACTTTCAGTAAACATGTTGAACAAAACCTTGTCACAAAATGTGTGTGTGTGTTTAGAGTTAAAACTTACTTTTTTGTTACTCTTTAATACAAATAATGAACTCTCAGGAGAAAGCACAGGGTCAAAATCATTTCGAATTTTAAGCTGCAAGACAACATTAAATGATAATGTGATATATATTCATCTATTATCCAAAAAGAAACAATTGCTAATCATAATAAAAGGAAAACTGAGATGCTATTACAACAAAAGGGTGACTGGTGAGTGCAGCAAATAGAAAGAGTGGACTGCAAATATCAATTAAAATAACCAACCTACATTGTTATTCACATATACACATAAGAAGACAGGTCAGTCATCATGGATGAAGCCGAAGTTTTTCACAAAAATTAACAGAAGTACAAATTATAAAGTAGGCATAGTTAGAGAGCATTGTAAAAGGCAAGGAAGTGTACTTGTTTACATGGAATCATTGATGGTTAAACTGAAAAATCTAAAATCATCAAGGCTTTTAAAATATAAAAACTTGTCAGTTGACATTGAAACGATAATGGTTTAACCATTAATTCCAAAGAAGTTTTACAATATAGGGGGGAAAGCATACTATCCACTAACATGTGCATGAACAAGATGAGGTTCAATAAGCTGCTGGAACATGGGAAACACTGTCATCATGATCTCATTTTGAGAAATAAAGCATCCCACTCTACTCTTATCCCTTTGAACTCGTGAAATCAAATGTGAATGAACACCTCCAACCTGTTCCAAATAAGAAAATCAAAGTACGAGGCCTTCTTAGCCCCACAATAAACTAGAAAATAAATGAAACAGAAAAGGCCTTCATTGAGGACTCATTCTTACAACAGCAATCCACAAGTCAAGTGATATTCGGATATCAGGATGCAAAGCAAAGACGCCTTCAAATATAATCTGGTCAAAATTAACAAATGGACTCTCAAGAACCACATTGAAACAATTACATAAAGAACTACCATAGCAGGACTAGCAAACTATATCAGGATTTCAGCATACAGATAAAGTATATATAATGTCAAGTTATCATGCATACATTTTCCTGGTGTCCTTGATTTCTGAAAAAACTAAGAAACAAGTAAAAGTGGGTAGTGGGGGGAGACAACATTGTATATAAAGTGTAAATGGTGGGCAAATCAATTGCTATATCCACTACCCCAGTTCGATGTGGGATGTAAAAGAAGCAGAAAGCACACTGTACTGTAGTCAGTATTATGGTAAATGACTTCATTTTCCAGATCAATAGTGATTTCATTCTACGGAGGCACTTTTAGAACAAGCCCAAAAGCCTGGCAAACTATGAAGGGTTAAACGCTAACACCATGTGGAAACTCCTTAGCAGCTATTGGCATAAACTTTTCTGACCAAGTGATGTGGAGTTAAATTTTTGCTTTCCAGTGTTCTACTTAAAATATATATCAGCAAAAGGTTTATGCAAGCTTTCATTTTGTCCTAACTTTAAGCTCAAGGAGCACTAAATTCAAAATCTACTAAGATATATTTTCATGAAAACAAAAGCGCAATTAAGAAATCACTTTTCAACTTTAGGCTATATTATTAAATCTCACAAGAAAAGTCAGTACAGAGACAAAATCTTAGGCACTTCGGGCGCTATTTAATAACTGACCACTCCACAATCTTCAGAAACCTCAAGATCCTTGAAACCATTCCGAGCACCACTTTCCAAATCAAATATAGGTACTTTTGTTCTTTGGCCATTTCTTATGTCATCAATGTTCTGCAAGGGAACCGAGAACGAGAAAGTTTAATAATCCATTAGTAATTTGTCTGAAAATATCCACAAGCTTAGACTAACCAAGCATTTAAGGCAAAGAGATATTACCATCAACCTTTTTCCTGGTGAATATAGATATTACCACAATCTTTATTTGAACAACAAATGGAGAAAGCAAAAGAATTTTACAATAATTCCAAAAACCAATGCTAAACAGTTACATTTCATGATACAATTAGGAAACAAATAACTACTACCAACAAACTTTGCAGCAGGAATCACAAAAGGGACGTCCATAAAGTTTTTGGACAGTGACAAGTCGAGACTCTGCATGAGAATGACACTTTAATTACTAAATGAATTTATTATAGTTTTGGTTTTTGATAGTTCTCCAAAATTCCTTTTCATCCAAAAACTAGCTTCACTCAGGCTCCATATGAATAAATTTGTCTATAGATTGTAGGAGAAGAAAATAAGAAAGTAAATTGATTGACCATTTCTATACGATAAAACAAAAGTTATGCAAGTTGATATTATATTTGGGTAGAAGTTTGATTTATATTTCATTTTAACTTCAAATATTCTTAATTTCAAGTGTTTGTAAAGAAATTTATCTAAATATACTTGTATAAAGATTCTTTGTAGTTACTTTTGAAGAAAATTTATTACTGTATGGCAAACAGAAAGCAACAGAAACAATGTAAAATAATAATCATATCCATTGTCAGACAATGTATAGAGTTTTACTCCCTGTAGTTTTTCTTAGAATCGCTGTATTTTCAGTTTTGAAGTCAGTTAGCTGTTCATCTATCTAACTGAAAGCTATTAGTGGTGGTTGTTTGAAGTCTGTTGGGAGTTAGTTTCCTTTCTTAGCTATATCACAACAATTAATGTTGTTATAATAAATATTTCTCCCCAGCAGTAAAATCAAGTTTCAATTCTCTGAAACTTCTATGAAACTTAATAACTCCAAATAGCACTAAGTATCAGTCAAATATTTATATAAGGTTACAAACTTACAAATATAAAATAAACTGTGGGAAAATTATACAAAATCAAAAAATAAACTTTTTTAAAAGAAGTCTTTCCTTTGCTTCAAATCGTTAACATCTACTGATTTTTAATTAACGGCATTGTGTTACTGAGTTGGATTGTCACATCATTCAGATTAAGGAATAAGAATTTTGGGCAATTGACAGGACAAGTTTTGGAGCAATTAATAGGACGTGCAGACTCTGTCAAATTATACACACAAAGCTCTTAACTAGATCAAGTCTAACCAGAGTTTGTCCCCAACCATGCAAAGGTTTACATCTTCTAAAGCAAATGCTTCATATTAAGTTGTTCATTACTTCAAACCATGAAATAGGGTAATTGATGGAACTAAAAATAGTGACACTAAATTAACATGTCATGGTAAAAATTGATTCCTCAGAAGAAATAAAACCATTTTTATTCAGAAAAAGTAATGTGTGTGAAGGTGTGACATCAATCAATATCATGCAGAGTGACCTAATCAATTGCATCTAAACTGTTTAATTACCTTACCTTCGATAGCAAAGATAAATCAAGTGCGCTGAAGTCGTCATATTTAAAGTCCTTTACTTGTTTATAATAGCTTTCCAGGGAAACTACTTCACAACCAATTATATTTGCCATTTTATGAGCCAAACTAGTCTTCCCAGACCCACTTGGACCTCCTGAAATGCATAACTTCTTAAGGATAAGTGATTCTATTAGAACTACCGTTGTTAAAAATGCATGCTGAGACTGAGATGAAGCAAAATTGATTCAGAATTATTCAGTACAGCAGTAACCAAAAGAAAAATCTCGATATGATTTTTACATGCACATTCAAGCTGAAATCATTGGACTAAAATATTTAATTAAGAAAAGGATCAATTTTGGCTAATGAAAATGGGGTGGGTAATGGGCTTGAGGTGATCTGCACTTGAGTCAAGTTAATGGACTCCATTTCCTTTTAAGAAAGTTTGAGATAGCAATATTTTGATTCAGCTCAATTAGTTTCCAGCTTTATCAGCAAGCATGTGAAGAACCAACCTGGTATTTCAAAAACGATAATAGCCAAAGTGAGTGTCATTTATCTTTAAATGCCTCTTTATATAAATTATATCAGGGTGAAGTCTTATTCCTCTTAAATATTTGTGCGCTAATGGGGATAGGCAAAAACTACAGACAAAGGAAGGAGGACGCTGTATCAAGAAATGTCCATATTACCAATTCCAACTATGACCGGTACACCTTTATTCTCCAACAATGCCTGGAAAAAGGATAAATAAGCAAATAGGATTCCATCAAACACATAAATATGAATGTCCTGTGGAATTGTAATCTTCAAAACACACAGAAGAAATTTCCAAGCCTTTTGCTCCTTACTTGTATTGCTTGAACAGCCAAAAGCAATCCCCTGTCCAAGTCAAATGAATCAGGCATTGGAGCAAGCCTAATACTATCCCTGAAAGATGAAGGATCTGTGGTTGCTTCATGAGAGAAGTCTTGATATAAAGGAAATTTTACATAAACATGTACAAAATTATTTGCATTCTCCAATTCAAGGAAAAATACCTAGAACTGAATTGTCAGGCTGGGAGGAATCTGAAGATATGAAATGCCATGCAGCCACAACAGGTTCCATTTTAGATTTTGTTGGCGATCGAGTCCATGGCTGGGGTAAATCCTCAAACCCAGTAACAACACTAGGAGTAACACGGATTGGCTTTGGGGCAATGATTGCTGTTTCTTGACTAGCAGCCACAGTAGTATTAGACACAAGTGGTGGAGTACTAAGACGAGGTACACCTGCAAATGAAAGTCAGAAGTTGAATACAACTAAATGCAACATAAGACCTTTTCTCTAATTTGTAATCTATAACTATAATATATCTATAATGTAAATCTATAACTTCAACAAAGCGAATTTCCCTTTCTGGTCTCCACATTTTATTGGACCTATTTACTCACTGCACAATATTTGCTTCTATCATAGCCTCTTGTCAAATTAATTTATATTGAACTGTTTTAAAAAAGATTAAATATGTGTACAGATGTTTCTGTCTTTGCACTAGTCTAGATAATTGGCCCAATGTTGTCCTCACACTCTTCAAACCACAATATTTTTCATGTTGCAGCTTTTATCATCACTTGTAAGAAAAACAACTGAATTAATTAAATGTGCATAAACTATATTAAAGAGAGAGCATCCCAATCCCTACCTTTTCTCTCCAGAATCATTTCCAGATATGATTTGGTAATCCAAGGTCCATCAATACCCATCCTTGATGCTTCTGTTCCGACAGTCTGAGATTTTTTTTTTCCATTTTTCAGATAAGTAACTCACCATATTATCAACCAGACAAGGCTTAATCAGACTGAGCAGAAAGTTAAAACAAACAAAAATGCTATTTAATATAAAATGGAAGAAACCATGGGTAGCCTTTCATATAAGAAATTGTAAAAACAAAAAATCCTTAAAAATGAGAAAACAAGGTATTTTAAATGTGATACGGAGGATTAACCCTTATTTATACTCCTATGGCTAGACCTTGATCAAACAAAGAAACAACAGTAAGTATAATGAAATCTACAATAAGATGCTTTACATAAAATACATGGTGACTGGTGAGTCCTCAATACGATTGCATTTTAATTAGAACATGTCTAGTGGGATCAGAAAAAACTACCTTTCTATTAGTTCCTCTCATCACCATAAACGTCTCACCAAGAACATCAATGGTCTCAAAAGAGATGTTAACCTTGCCATTATTGACAATTGCCGATGCACGCTTATAACTAACCACAACAGTATACCCAAGAGCCAACAGCCCACCCAATGTCATTCGACCAACCTGTTTCAACATTAAAATCATAAAAAGCAAACAAAAATTAGCTAAAAAGGAGTAGGTTCATTTTTCTCGTGATGGATAATATGTTTAAAGGAATAAAATGTCAAAAGAAGTGTCAGCAATTATCTTTGCTAATCAGGATGAATTAGTATCATGTATATCTTGTAACTTCAATCTGAGAAAACAAATATATCTTGTAATACTGAAACAGTATACCACTATGTTTTGTCTTTTCCTCATCATTCAAACTGCAACCATAACATTGATATGTTGGCACAAAACGAAGAAGCTATCCAAAATTTAAATTCTAAATAGTGCTCTCTAGGAAGGATTAAAGTTCCAACTTCCTAGCATTATTGAAAGGGGCAGCATCTAAGTCATGGGAAAGGGGGAGTTAATGAGTTAAATATATAGGAGGAAGTAAAGGGAAAGGGTGNTTCTGCAAGGGAACCGAGAACGAGAAAGTTTAATAATCCATTAGTAATTTGTCTGAAAATATCCACAAGCTTAGACTAACCAAGCATTTAAGGCAAAGAGATATTACCATCAACCTTTTTCCTGGTGAATATAGATATTACCACAATCTTTATTTGAACAACAAATGGAGAAAGCAAAAGAATTTTACAATAATTCCAAAAACCAATGCTAAACAGTTACATTTCATGATACAATTAGGAAACAAATAACTACTACCAACAAACTTTGCAGCAGGAATCACAAAAGGGACGTCCATAAAGTTTTTGGACAGTGACAAGTCGAGACTCTGCATGAGAATGACACTTTAATTACTAAATGAATTTATTATAGTTTTGGTTTTTGATAGTTCTCCAAAATTCCTTTTCATCCAAAAACTAGCTTCACTCAGGCTCCATATGAATAAATTTGTCTATAGATTGTAGGAGAAGAAAATAAGAAAGTAAATTGATTGACCATTTCTATACGATAAAACAAAAGTTATGCAAGTTGATATTATATTTGGGTAGAAGTTTGATTTATATTTCATTTTAACTTCAAATATTCTTAATTTCAAGTGTTTGTAAAGAAATTTATCTAAATATACTTGTATAAAGATTCTTTGTAGTTACTTTTGAAGAAAATTTATTACTGTATGGCAAACAGAAAGCAACAGAAACAATGTAAAATAATAATCATATCCATTGTCAGACAATGTATAGAGTTTTACTCCCTGTAGTTTTTCTTAGAATCGCTGTATTTTCAGTTTTGAAGTCAGTTAGCTGTTCATCTATCTAACTGAAAGCTATTAGTGGTGGTTGTTTGAAGTCTGTTGGGAGTTAGTTTCCTTTCTTAGCTATATCACAACAATTAATGTTGTTATAATAAATATTTCTCCCCAGCAGTAAAATCAAGTTTCAATTCTCTGAAACTTCTATGAAACTTAATAACTCCAAATAGCACTAAGTATCAGTCAAATATTTATATAAGGTTACAAACTTACAAATATAAAATAAACTGTGGGAAAATTATACAAAATCAAAAAATAAACTTTTTTAAAAGAAGTCTTTCCTTTGCTTCAAATCGTTAACATCTACTGATTTTTAATTAACGGCATTGTGTTACTGAGTTGGATTGTCACATCATTCAGATTAAGGAATAAGAATTTTGGGCAATTGACAGGACAAGTTTTGGAGCAATTAATAGGACGTGCAGACTCTGTCAAATTATACACACAAAGCTCTTAACTAGATCAAGTCTAACCAGAGTTTGTCCCCAACCATGCAAAGGTTTACATCTTCTAAAGCAAATGCTTCATATTAAGTTGTTCATTACTTCAAACCATGAAATAGGGTAATCGATGGAACTAAAAATAGTGACACTAAATTAACATGTCATGGTAAAAATTGATTCCTCAGAAGAAATAAAACCATTTTTATTCAGAAAAAGTAATGTGTGTGAAGGTGTGACATCAATCAATATCATGCAGAGTGACCTAATCAATTGCATCTAAACTGTTTAATTACCTTACCTTCGATAGCAAAGATAAATCAAGTGCGCTGAAGTCGTCATATTTAAAGTCCTTTACTTGTTTATAATAGCTTTCCAGGGAAACTACTTCACAACCAATTATATTTGCCATTTTATGAGCCAAACTAGTCTTCCCAGACCCACTTGGACCTCCTGAAATGCATAACTTCTTAAGGATAAGTGATTCTATTAGAACTACCGTTGTTAAAAATGCATGCTGAGACTGAGATGAAGCAAAATTGATTCAGAATTATTCAGTACAGCAGTAACCAAAAGAAAAATCTCGATATGATTTTTACATGCACATTCAAGCTGAAATCATTGGACTAAAATATTTAATTAAGAAAAGGATCAATTTTGGCTAATGAAAATGGGGTGGGTAATGGGCTTGAGGTGATCTGCACTTGAGTCAAGTTAATGGACTCCATTTCCTTTTAAGAAAGTTTGAGATAGCAATATTTTGATTCAGCTCAATTAGTTTCCAGCTTTATCAGCAAGCATGTGAAGAACCAACCTGGTATTTCAAAAACGATAATAGCCAAAGTGAGTGCCATTTATCTTTAAATGCCTCCTTATATAAATTATATCAGGGTGAAGTCTTATTCCTCTTAAATATTTGTGCGCTAATGGGGATAGGCAAAAACTACAGACAAAGGAAGGAGGACGCTGTATCAAGAAATGTCCATATTACCAATTCCAACTATGACCGGAACACCTTTATTCTCCAACAATGCCTGGAAAAAGGATAAATAAGCAAATAGGATTCCATCAAACACATAAATATGAATGTCCTGTGGAATTGTAATCTTCAAAACACACAGAAGAAATTTCCAAGCCTTTTGCTCCTTACTTGTATTGCTTGAACAGCCAAAAGCAATCCCCTGTCCAAGTCAAATGAATCAGGCATTGGAGCAAGCCTAATACTATCCCTGAAAGATGAAGGATCTGTGGTTGCTTCATGAGAGAAGTCTTGATATAAAGGAAATTTTACATAAACATGTACAAAATTATTTGCATTCTCCAATTCAAGGAAAAATACCTAGAACTGAATTGTCAGGCTGGGAGGAATCTGAAGATATGAAATGCCATGCAGCCACAACAGGTTCCATTTTAGATTTTGTTGGCGATCGAGTCCATGGCTGGGGTAAATCCTCAAACCCAGTAACAACACTAGGAGTAACACGGATTGGCTTTGGGGCAATGATTGCTGTTTCTTGACTAGCAGCCACAGTAGTATTAGACACAAGTGGTGGAGTACTAAGACGAGGTACACCTGCAAATGAAAGTCAGAAGTTGAATACAACTAAATGCAACATAAGACCTTTTCTCTAATTTGTAATCTATAACTATAATATATCTATAATGTAAATCTATAACTACAACAAAGCGAATTTCCCTTTCTGGTCTCCACATTTTATTGGACCTATTTACTCACTGCACAATATTTGCTTCTATCATAGCCTCTTGTCAAATTAATTTATATTGAACTGTTTTAAAAAAGATTAAATATGTGTACAGATGTTTCTGTCTTTGCACTAGTCTAGATAACTGGCCCAATGTTGTCCTCACACTCTTCAAACCACAATATTTTTCATGTTGCAGCTTTTATCATCACTTGTAAGAAAAACAACTGAATTAATTAAATGTGCATAAACTATATTAAAGAGAGAGCATCCCAATCCCTACCTTTTCTCTCCAGAATCATTTCCAGATATGATTTGGTAATCCAAGGTCCATCAATACCCATCCTTGATGCTTCTGTTCCGACAGTCTGAGATTTTTTTTTTCCATTTTTCAGATAAGTAACTCACCATATTATCAACCAGACAAGGCTTAATCAGACTGAGCAGAAAGTTAAAACAAACAAAAATGCTATTTAATATAAAATGGAAGAAACCATGGGGAGCCTTTCATATAAGAAATTGTAAAAACAAAAAATCCTTAAAAATGAGAAAACAAGGTATTTTAAATGTGATACGGAGGATTAACCCTTATTTATACTCCTATGGCTAGACCTTGATCAAACAAAGAAACAACAGTAAGTATAATGAAATCTACAATAAGATGCTTTACATAAAATACATGGTGACTGGTGAGTCCTCAATACGATTGCATTTTAATTAGAACATGTCTAGTGGGATCAGAAAAAACTACCTTTCTATTAGTTCCTCTCATCACCATAAACGTCTCACCAAGAACATCAATGGTCTCAAAAGAGATGTTAACCTTGCCATTATTGACAATTGCCGATGCACGCTTATAACTAACCACAACAGTATACCCAAGAGCCAACAGCCCACCCAATGTCATTCGACCAACCTGTTTCAACATTAAAATCATAAAAAGCAAACAAAAATTAGCTAAAAAGGAGTAGGTTCATTTTTCTCGTGATGGATAATAGGTTTAAAGGAATAAAATGTCAAAAGAAGTGTCAGCAATTATCTTTGCTAATCAGGATGAATTAGTATCATGTATATCTTGTAACTTCAACCTGAGAAAACAAATATATCTTGTAATACTGAAACAGTATACCACTATGTTTTGTCTTTTCCTCATCATTCAAACTGCAACCATAACATTGATATGTTGGCACAAAACGAAGAAGCTATCCAAAATTTAAATTCTAAATAGTGCTCTCTAGGAAGGATTAAAGTTCCAACTTCCTAGCATTATTGAAAGGGGCAGCATCTAAGTCATGGGAAAGGGGGAGTTAATGAGTTAAATATATAGGAGGAAGTAAAGGGAAAGGGTGTTGGATATATGTTCATTTGTAGATTGAGCATTGGCTCCTTTTGAAAGGAGAAATCATTTCTAAAGAGGAAATCCTTGAACGAGACTTCTCCCCTATTTCTTGTTCTGTTCCTCTTAATAAAATCTTTCTTTTCTTTCCCATTCAAATATTGGATCCTAACAACATGTCAACTACTAACTGTTTTAATGTTGCCTATCGAGCTTGAAGGGCACATTTACAAATTGCAGATACCTCAAATTTTTTTTAAGCACGGACAGGGACAAAACCATAGGCCTTCTAGTTAATGCACATTTCTATTCAAATAAGCAGGCTTAAATATACAGTAATTAGGTAATATATTACCTAATGGGAATATGAGATCATCCCACTCATCTTGCTAATAGCTTGTTTTCCTTAGAAAGGAAACGGAAAATATCCATACCTCAAAT